ATGTTCCATTACCTTCTCTTGCCTTCTACAGTGTTCTATTACCTATTCAACCAGTTTCTAAAAAAAAATCTAGAATATTCCACCCAGACACAGTACGGTTCTAGAACATTCTCAGTGACACGGAAGTGGTAAACAAGTCGTATGCGACAGTAAAACTAGGGTAAAATTCTTATAAATAAAATGACTCCGCGGACTTTTTCCCGTCCCATAACATAACATGTTTAAAGTAACCCTAATGGCACGTGTACGGTAATAATAACTGCACAGGATTCTGACTGGACCTAACGGCAATTGCTCCTCGTCCTCGCTACCGACAATTTACGGTAACAGGTGAATAATAATAGGATTTACATCTAGCCTTTTGATTTTTGGTCAAAAACGATGGTTACCCAACATGTTGCAGAGATCCGACAAGAAGAATGTGACACCGCTTAGCCTCTAACGTGAGGTTAAAGCGAGCAAGAAATTTGATTTGATCATAAAATGTTTCCAGAGTTGTACTAGCCACTTGGATGGGATTGGAAATTATTTTACTGTAGGTCAGTGGGACGTGCTATAATATTACCACTGATTTCTGATCAACGTGTCATTATCGACAGCCAAGCTACTGACACTGTGTGTTATTTGTGCTTTGATCTCAATTGATCTTATTCCTTGAACCATGAAGTAAATTTATCAATAGTTTATTCGTTTAAATGGTGTGACGTATGTGTCTTTGAGGTCGAGTGATGACAGATAGTCCACCAATGAATACAGCGGCGTACATCTACTGTAATTACCATTTTGACGTAATCTTCAGGAGTGTACTGATTTAGTTGGCTTAGGTGTATGATTACATGCACTCTTCCACAGTTATTTTTGTTTACTGAAATATTGTGGAGTAACACGGGAGAGGGAGTCAGAAATTGTTGTGACTGCGCGCTTTGACAACAATTCTCTCACCTACTACAGAATCATGCCGACTCACTCCATGTATAATGATTCATTGACACTATAATAATTCAGTTCAGTATAATGATTCATTTTCTATTTAAAGGGCACACGGATCGGGAAAAATGCGCGACCTGTCAGTGACCTGTCTAATCACGTCCATGATTGCCCAGCGACTAATATCAGTGCGATTGAGTATTAAATAGTGATTCTAAAATATCAAATGTAATGGCTAGTTTCTGTTTCTTAAGGCTTGCCGAATACACAGTTTGTCTAAGTGAGTCACCCGCGGCATATGTTATGAATAGATGAAGTTAAGAAAAATGACAATAGTACTGTGTGCCAATTCCTTTGGCTCAATCAAAAAACGTAACAAATCTGTAGCTGTCAGAGCTGTCTTGTCAATCAGTTCACAAAATAAAGTGAGCTTGATGGTCAGAACAATAAGTGCCAATCAGATGACAGTCACGATTCCACCTGTGAGAAAAATAAAGCTTGAAGTTAGATAATTTACAGTGAGTGAATCAACATAATGATTATTTGTTTTCGTATGACATGGATTGGACATGTTAGCAACAACTACTGTACTTGGAGATCACGTGTCGCGTAACAATGAAGCACTCTGTACATAAATAGTTGCCCCATGGCTCAGTGAGCTGTTGCATACCATTCCCGCCAGTTGATGAGAGTATAACTGGAGAATGTAAATGCTGACTTGATTTTTAACTTCACTTTGAAGTGTTATTGTTATAAGTACCATTACATATACAAATCGGATGCATCCGTGTATAGTTGTCTACTGTAAGACGCAAACAGTGCTGATCCCATACTACCACATCCACCCATGT